AAAAATTGTTATACAAATTTTATGTACCCCTTTAAGGGGCTGTATCTTAACAAGGGATGCTTCAATGAAATTTCTTTATATGAAAGTTCCTATCTTTTTTTCGATGAGGAACCACCTCCTTGAATGTTTTATACTTATTTAGTTACACCCTGTATTATGGGATAGAGGCATCTTTGTACATCAGTTCCATTTCAATACATTCGATTTTGCATGATCACTTAATTGTAAAAAAATTGTTCTCGTTGGATACCCTATAATTTACCAATCGTCAAAAAAAAGCTCGCGTCAAATATGGTATAAGGAAATGATTGAAAAATTCGGCCGTGAATATATGCGTACGAGCCGGAAACAAAACATCAGTCGATTGTGTGGATATTCCAAGACAAAAGTTGTTCGTGAAAGAAGCACAGAGAATGAACTGGTCCCCTGTTTCTTCGGTGTTCGGAGAAATTGGTAAAACTAACCGCAAAAGACGAATGATTCTCCGTTATGACAATGCGAGCTCTGACACATCTTGTCAAACAGATGAATTTTTGAGCGGTCAAAACATCGAATTGATGAGTCAAAGTCCGTGCAGTCCTGATTTGACACACAATGACTACTTCTTGTTCCCGAATATCAAAGGTAAACTGAGTGGTCAACGATTTACGAGCGCCGAAGAAGCAGTTGGGGCATTCGAAAAACATGTTTTGGAGGTGTCTCAAGGGAAATGGGTTAACTGCTTTGAAAAATGGTTTGAATGGATGCAGGAATGTATTGATCATCAAGGGAAATGTTTCAAAAATTAATGAAGCCCTGTTCATCAAAATGTGTTTGTTATTATTTGCTATTTCCGAAATATAAATAGTACTCCTTAGTGGGCTGAAAATAAAAATTGATTTTGAGTCACTGTCTCAAAATGTTGTGTTGCTTACTCAACTTTGAGAAATTATTGAAGAAATATGAATTATTTCAAATTTTTGTGGAAATTTGTTATTGCTTTATTTAATGTACCTGGAAATACTGATGATCATGACTTTCAGTCACTACGATATTTATTGAGGCTTCTGTCAACAAGGAGCTTGAAAGTTTTTCCAATACGATGTTGAAATTGTACCTATTTTCAGAGTAACATTGTGGGAATATCTAGAATTTGTTGTTTTTCTGTTGAATTGTTTGTTGCTCAATCAGACCTAATCGACTGTTCCAAGTTGAGTATAACTTTTTATGTTGGTTGATAATTGATAGCTATTATTTATACTGAATCTTAATGAAATCAGTGAAACATGGAAATCACCCCCATTTGTAACAAAATACCCAATTATCTGGAAATCTTCATTTCATAGAAAATCAGCTCTCAGGAAAGGATGAAATTCCACAGTTTCTCCCAAGAAACTACCAGTCTTTTAACTAGTCACTCTGATAGAGAAAACATCCCAAATGTAACATCCTAATTACAATCTGAATGTAAAAATGTTTTGTCACTACTCCATCATACTAGAAGTAACTTGAATAAGTATAAGAAACTTGCAATAACATTACTTCGTGTGAATATTGAAATACTAATGAAATATTACCAAATTATGAAGAAATTGGCACAGTGATAATGGATACAATCGTTTATGAAAATAAAGTATCAATGTTGATTTCGAATACAACATAACAAACACATAATATAGCAAAAACCGTTGAAAAACTGAAAAATGATCCAACAAGTTCAGTTGAACAGAAAATTCATGAGCTCAAATAATATCCTAACAAAAATTCGACGGGCTCATTTCAGTAAACCTTCAAACAAACATAAGTAATTCTAGTTGCCTCTGAACTTTGAACCTCACACTTGTACTGGCTGCATCAGAAGATGGACATGTCTTACCTTTTGGCGGGTTAACTGGAATAGCCGACCTATAGAGCGCCTCTTCATCCCGCCAGTCTCTATTCCGAAAAACAGTCTTTGCACTAAAAGCCACCAATACGAGCACCAAACAAAACAAAAACACTGGTCTGAATCGTCTGTACCTCTCCCAGAGCAAAGCTCCTGCCAAACCTAGCAACAAACACAACCCCGCGCTGGGAAGATACAGCACCCTCTCAGCCACTACAAACCCCACGTAGAATAGAAAGTTCGTAGCAGGGAGGAAAGGAAGCGCTAGGAAGGCAAGTGAGAGAAGCAACGCGCTGCTGTAGTTCAGAGTCCTTCGCCCTGAGGATAGCTTGGAGGAGGTATAGCACACGCACGAAGAAGGGTGAAAGTTCGTTGAGTTGTTATTGTTCGTAGTGCGACAGGAGTTGGAGTGCATGTCGAAACTGCTGGACATGCAAATCGTACAAGAGTGATACTTTCCCACTTCAGCCTTTTCCTGCAGGATGACACTCCTGACACATCTCCTGAGCACTTGTGCTAGCCCCAAGTAGAAAGCCACCGTCACCAGATTTCTTCCATCCCGAAGGCTGGTTATCCTGGGGATGGCCTCCATGCCCCAATCGAAGCTCAGTGTGTTGGGAAACAGCAGCAACCAGAAGTTGAAGACAGGCAGATAGGAGAAGGTGAGAAACCTCGTCAAGAAATCCGTTTCTCTCGCTGTGGGATTATCCGCTGTTGAGAATTGCGGCGTTCGTGTTTGGAGTCGTACTGCGAGGATGACTGACAGGGCGACGATGAGGATCAATAAACTGCGGGCTTGTTTCTGAAACAGAAGACATTGATTAGTTATTTCATTGAGAGGTGATGTAGTGACAGGTCTGGGAATTTGAAAGATGGATTTGTTACGATTTTATTCGGTATGAAGATTTCATTACAATTTTTCAATAAAAATTAAATTTCAGTCGAAGTATTACAATTTTGATTAGATTAGCGAAACAAACCAGTCAACATAATGATAATAATGGTGATAATGCTAATATGGTCAGCGACCATGAAGAGCAGGAGTTGAAGCATTTCTCTTCGGGGCAGTAGCCCGAGCAGCTGATGAAATCGGTTTACTTTTCGAGACTGAACGAGGTTATCACAACTCTGTCACCAAGTTGGAACCCATTCAGCAGTCGCCCATATAAAAGCCGCAGAGATCACCTCACTTCTGTGGCAACACAATAATAAGCCAATGCATATCGATGATGAAATCGGTTTACTTTTCGAGACTGAACGAGGTTATCACAAATCTGTCACCAAGTTGGAACCCATTCAGCAGTCGCCCATATAAAAGCCGCAGAGATCACCTCACTTCTGTGGCAACACAATAATAAGCCAATGCATGGTGTCTTATTGAATACCTTGGCTTATCAAAGCGCCTGACTTTCGCTTACCTCATGTCGGGTAGGATGAAGTCAAAATGATGTCTCCAATACATTAATCTACCGCAGTCGTGTGATGAGTATAGAGCTTCCAGACATAATGCACAGAGCCTGTCGCGGAGCGTCCGTGACCCTTATGATCTTTCTGTCAGCATGTCCAGCATATGCGGTCTTGGCCTATATCCATGGACATACCGCGGCCCTAAGAGTGCTTTATCATCACCTGCGGCACTTTTATGGTATTGACACGGTTTTGCCCTACGCTCTGGAATATATTGAATCCATTGTGGGGAAGGAGAAATGCCGAATTTATTGGAACTATTAGTTCCTCACCCTCAAGCTCATACAAGCTAATAAGTCCGACCACCAAGCACCTGAGCAAGACGATATTTGTCGTGGGGTTTTCAGCTCCTGGCGAGACTTTATCCAGACCACTCTGTCGAAATAGTTTTTTCGATTATTGGAGTCCTTGGTAAAAAGATGTCCTCTCCACTCTCGAATCTCGAAATCATGCCGACTTGTCACACTATGGCAGACATCTCGTTCAGACCAATTCAGAAGGCTCTCATTCTTCGCACACTGCGATAACTAGGGGGCACATAATGCTCGATAATGCTGTCGCGCCCTCCTGAATGTATCGAGCCTTCGGAAGATAGGACTAGACCAGCGCAAACTCAGGTTTGAAGAAAAATAATGGTAGTTCTCTCCGACCAAGAGAAGAAGATGATATTTGTCGTAGAGTTTTCAATTCCTGAAAAGTATTGTTCGTATTGAGTGGAAAAAATCGAATGTAGTATCAAGATTTTCTCTTCAAACTTCGCTGACTCTATGCAGACTAATTGTTTGTTTATTGGAGTTCTTGGTGGAATAATGCCCTGTCTACTCTCGAATCTCAATATCAAGCCAGCTTGTCGCACAAAGGCAGAAATCTTAGCCAGACATGTCGGAATAATCAGTATGTTTGCTCTATTCTGGGTACAGTAGGTACAAAAAAAAAGGTGAATTTCAATTTTTTTGAAAAATATTCAGTATCATTCAATTTACATTTTGTCCCATTCAAATTAGTTTCCTCCAGTGTTTCTTCAATTTACGGAGTGATTCTTGTATGCACTTTTTGGTATGTCCAGCGATTCGGTTTTCATCTCCTTAATTATCGCAAAACGTCAACCTTGCAAGGGTTTCTTCAATTTTTAGGGAACAGGAAAAAGTCGCGGGGGACCTAATCTGGTGAATACGGTAGCTGATGTATAATTCATGGTCAAAATATGGTCAAAATTCAGCAATTTTGGAACAAACTTTGCTGTCACGCTCTATATGCCCGATTTTTTTTTCAATTGGCATTGCATGAGCCAACTGAAATTCAGACATCCCCAGCAAATCCTGTAATAGTGATTCAACGATTCTTCATAACAATTTTCTTCACCATGTCAACGTTTTAATTGGTTGTTGATATGTTGGGACGTCCAGGGCGAGCGTCGTCATTCACATTTTCTCAAGCTTCTGTGGGAAGCTTGTACCACTTTTGAGCATTTTCCTGAATCATGGTACAATCACTGTATGCCACTGTCAACATTTCAATTGTTTTAGAGTACTATATTGTATTTTTTACATAAAAGTTGACGCTAATCGCTGAAGAAGTGAAACACTTCAAACTTTTATGCCTGTCACCAACGAATAAATCCTGCTCGACAGCTGGAACTGTGAACATACGTTCGGGACAAGTGTAGCAACATAAAAAAGTCGCTACTCGAATGTATGTAGCCCGCGAAATTTGAATATTCATTCTATTTTTTGAACAGTCCTGAGAGCGTCAAATACTGAGTTGGCATCGGAACAGGGACCGCCCGTACACAATCAGGGTTCATTTCATGGAATGATCTGCATACTAATCTAGATTGAAATTCAAAATCTTCCTTTCAGGATGAGGAATTTTCAGAAAACTTCAATTTGACAACTTTCGGTATGATTTCACGTCAAAGTGAAATCGTTAATTATGCAGTAATTGGCATTGCATGAGCCAACTGAAATTCAGACATCCCCAGCAAATCCTGTAATAGTGATTCAACGATTTTTCATAACAATTCTCTTCACCATGTCAACGTTTTAATTGGTTGTTGATATGTTGGGACGTCCAGAGCGAGCGTCGTCATTCACTTCTTCTCAAGCTTCTGTCAGAAGCTCATACCACTTTTGAACATTTTCCTGACTCATGGTACAATCACTGTATACCACTGTCAACATTCCAATTGTTTTTGAGTACTATATTTATCTTTTACATGAAAGGTGATGCAAATCGCTTAACGAGTGAAACACTTCAAACTTTTATGCCTGTCCCCATGAATAAATCCTGCTCAACAGCTGGAACTATGAACATACGTTTGGGACAAGTGTAGCAACATAAAAAAGTCGCTACTTGAATATGTGTAGCCCGCGAAATTTGAATATCCATTCCATTTTTTGAACAGTCCTAAGAGCGTCAAATACTGAGTTGGCACCTGAACAGGGACCGCACGTACACAATCCGGGTACATTTCACAGAATGATCTGCATACTAATCTAGATTGAAATTCAAAACTCTTCCTTTCAGGATGAGGAATTTTCAGAAAACTTCAATTTGACAACTTTCGGTATGATTTCACGTCAAAGTGAAATCGTTAATTATGCAGGATTGAACTTTCATGCTTGTGTTAGTTTTTGAAGTCGAAAGAAGAACGAAAGGGTAAAAATATCTGCGTTCTACCTATATGTAATACAGGGTGTTTCAAATTCGATCCTCACCATTGAGATCTCGGAAACTAGGAGAGATACTAAGATGATTGAATAGGGGCAAAAATGTGCATTTGCCTGTCTAACAATATGGCGTTGAGAAAGTTCTGAAATTCCAAGTATATCCGGAGATATCCGGAAAAAAACGAAATTTCGGAAAATGGTTTTTATCTTTTTCTGGCTTTATTTTTCGAAAGATTCGAAAATAAATTGCACTTCCACGTTGTCACTTTCTCCCTGATTCATAACGGTGTCATCAGATTTGCTATCCGACGTTTCATCTTCCTACAAATACGATAGGAATATTATTCACAGCACAATTAATTTTTCTCCTCCTCAATCTGCCAAACTCTGTAACAATGCTGTGTTGAAAGTCTTCAATATTTTAATATTTTCTCTGCCATAAACTCTATTTTTCAGTGCACCCCATGAGAATATATCCATAACACTTGAGTCTGGAGACGTTGCTGGCCACCCCACCGACCCATTATTCGCTATCTATTCATCACCAAACTTTCAGACAGGTAATTAGATACTCGTCTTGTAGTGTGCGGTGGAGCACCGTCATGTGGAAACCAGATGTTGTTATAGACAGCCAAAAGTATATCATCCAAATAGTCTTCGAAAATCGACATAAAAAACTAGTGATAGGTTCCTCCATCCAGCTTTCCGTCAAATAAATGAGGACTCAAAATTCTATCTTTGTATATTCCTGCCCAAACGTTCATACTAAATCCCACGTGAGGTGTTCCAAATGTGTTCGTTATTTTGGTTGAATATCCCACACTTCGTAAAAGTGCTTTCATCTGTCCAAATTACATTTTCCAGGAAAACGAGAAAATCAGGTCTTCTTATTAGCCACTTATAAAATTCTAATCGCCTTTCGGGATCAACTGGATGCAATTTTTGAGATATGTGTATTTTTTAACATTTTAAACCGCTTTTTTCAAGATTTCTCCAAGCATTTGTATGACAAATATTCATTTCGGACGGAATTTAACGTGTAGATTTCCCCGGGTTCATGTTTGTCTGCAAATTATTAATTTTTATTGAAAATAACACAATATCTAATTTACCTCATACACACCTCATTTATGAAATTTTGATTGTTTGGTTTTCAAACGAATCACACTGGGTGAGATTTTAATCCAATAATTTAAACATAGTTCGATGTGGTTGTCGTCTTTCGGGAAACAAGTTTAGATAAATTTCCGATGTCCTCACACTGTTTCTATCATATTTGTAATGAATTTGTAGCATATCTTTTTTCTCTTCATTCGTGAAAGCCATTTTTTGCCAAAAATTCAATGACTTGTGCTATAACAAAATGTCATTGAGTGTAACAAATTGAAAGTCAAATTTAGAAACATAAAAGTCAAAACCTATTATTCAAAAGGATGGTGAGTTGATAGAAGATCCTGCAAAGATTGTGACTGAATTAAACAATTTTTTCATCGAGGCTCCTCAAGCACTAATGAGGAAAATTTCGAAGGTATTGCATCTAGACAATCCAACTAATTCCATAGATTTCTATCCACACATTTTATTTTTGAAACCATTCATTGAAAGCGGACTGTTCGATCTCGTCAGTCGTAAAATGAGAAACAAGAGGACTTCGGGAATCGACGAG